GGGTAATAGAATGAAAATAGAAAACAAAGAACTCAGCAAATGTATTTTATAACATTTATGCAGAACGAAAGACGATGGTTAATCGGTAAAAAGCAAATGAATATATGCAGCATCTTACAACAAGTGAAAAATAAGCACAGATCAACAGCAGCTGCAAAAGTTCCATAAATTGTTGGAACGGACTTCAGCTTGCCTGGCAAACTTCAGCTCCAAGCCTTTTTTGCCTCACCCGCATACGTTGTGACGTCGGCAATATCACGCGTTAGTGAAGCTGCGCGTCGTTGACGTCCCGTCGCTTTCCTCTGCCTCTCTGTCCCTCTCTGCCGTCCTGCTTGTATGTCTTAACAAGCTATAACGAATTATCCGTAATGTTACCCGGTGTAACCGGAGCCAAAGGAAATTGAAAGTATCAGCATCTATCATATCCGTTATTTTGGCGCTATTCGTACACTGTCCATTCCAAAATTTAATAAAAGTATATAGTTTTGTCTTTACTTTTTTTATTTCTTTCCAAAGCAGGCAACAATTTATGTACAGTGAAGTGACTGGGTTGTTATGCAGAAAAATTTCTTCAGTTAGGTGGCAAAAAATGTCTTCAGAAACTTAAGAAACTAATCTAGGTTTTTGCGTTGTGTTGTTCACAGCATTCATACAGCCACAATCAACAAAAATTGATGTATATAAAAAGCAGGAAAATAAACTATACATTTGTCTGAATACGTTGTATCTTTGGCATACACTGTAAGGAAATGCTGCTGTAATGCTGAATAAATGGCACTTGCTTTCCTTTTTTATCGCCGAGTATGAGGTCAATGTTCTGAGGTTAAGTTTGGTACGCTGGTAGGTATTCTGATACTATCTTGACACTTGTCATCATATTTCTTCCTATACCAATACTGTTTACTTTAGTGTCATAAAGGAGAAATGGATCTAAAGAAAAAAAAAGAGAGGAAAATTGGGAAAAACTAAGTTGTAACGTCTAGATATTTAGTTTCTTTTTTTTTTTCCTTGTATTCAGCCTATCAATTTGATTTGAAAATCTCTGGAATCTATGGAATCTGCATTTTTGCTAGCAGATTTTTTATTTTTTACAAGAAAGTTATGGTTATCATTTTAGCAGCAAAGATCACATAGTTGTTACCGACATTTTCCGGTGAATATATATCACCAAGCACTGTTGAATTGCAATTCGTCATTAATTACTCGTAGAAAGCTACAGATGTAGAAATAATATCGGTATTTTAAAGATCTTACTAAGTATCGTTGTTTCATGTTTAGTACTAATTTTTTTAAGTAATCAGTACATAGACTAAGGAAAACTATAATTTCAAAATACTCTTCACGCTAGCTATCAATGTTTTATAAGGCAAAATTGTTTTTAAAGGTTACATATTTATTTTGCTCTATGATTATTTTTCGTTATTCAGTTGTTTTATGCCTTTCTGATCATAAAAAATTTGGTAGAGTGATGGAGAGTGATCAGTATACCTTCTTACTACAGCTGTTACTAACACGCTTTGCTGTTAAAGTGCTATCAACAAGCATTGCTATAGGTGTTGGCATATTCTTCCTGTGATTACTTGGTGTTAAGAATTGCATTGTTGAGCCCTCAAACTTAATAGTTTCTAACTATAATACTTAGGCTAAAGAGTATTTTAATTATACGGTTAGCTCTAATCTATATATGTTTTGATTAGCAAAAGAAGCATTTGCCAGATAAGAAACGTTGATACTTGGCACGATGAATGTGTTGAAATTACAGTTTTCTTTAGTCTGTGTCCTGACTTGCGATAAAAACAAGTGCAGGGCAAAAAATATAATTATATTTTCATAATTTGAAATAAAAAGCTTGAAACTTACTTGCTGAAACATACCAACTAATTACTGCCCAAAATTATCAGTCTAATAGGGTTTTTTTTTGCTTTAAAATGTCCACATTTATTCTTGGGGGAGGGGGTTAGGGAATTTGAGGACGTCTTGGTCGTCCTCTACTAAAATCAGTTGCTAAATAATTCTAGGCATCAAGGTGTGATCTATTTAGAACTCAGCTACTTTAACATTAGAAAATTTAAAAAAACCTATAATTTTTACTTACAGTAGTCAGGTTTTCAATTAGCTGAGTATATAATGATTATATACCAGTAAGATAACTGAGGTATGACAGTCATTTACAATTATATAAATACTTTTGAGGATTTAAACTGAATTGTTTCCAAATGGTTTGGTTGCTGCTAGAACAGTCGCTTCAGAAAAAATTTTTCAAGTTACTGTGTAGGATGTCACCGTACACTGTTTAATCGTTTGCCTGTTTTTTTTTTTTTTCGCTTTACTACTGCTATAAGTTCCTCAATGTTTATAGGATTAATTTATCCTACCTTAACTATTATAGAATTTAATGTGGGCACAAAATGAAACAGATAGAATTAACACACCAGATGAACGTTTTAATTGAATAAGTGCATTATTCTGTGCAATTAATTAACCTAAATATGATGTCGTTTTAAATTTTTAACACATTATTATAGCAACAACAATTAAATTTCTTTATCTGTCAATAACAGTTGAAAAATTCTGTCCAAAAATATGTTTTATCTGCGGCGCTGCCAAATGGGAACGAAAAAATTTGAAGGTGTTACTTTCCTTTGTAAAGGATTAGGAACAAAACTTGTAAAAAGCCTATAAAATCGTTCAGAAAGTTGGGGTTTAAAAACCACAAATATTTTTAGCTTAATTAACAGTTTTTTATCATTCTTTCAAAACATTTGTCATTATCATTTTCAGTTTTCAGAAACTCACCGGCAATATCAATGATTTTTGTTGTAATGTTCAGCATTTTTTACTAATCTTAATAATTCGTGATTGAATAATTTACCATCAAAAAATTAGTTGGATTTAAAGTGAAGCGAAAAAATTTTGTAAAATTCAAAATGATCAAGAATGACAACAAAATTTGTTGATTATCAGTTTGTTGTCAATATTTATCTCATATCAAAATTTTTGATTTAAAATTTTTACTAGATTCTTTTTTTTTTTTTTGGTATGAATAATAAAACAACTTTTTTTTGATCAAAATAAAGACATACTTTTAAGAAAAAAAGTTGTCTCTTACAAGAATAATTAAATTTAGATTAGAAAATAGAAAAATTAACTGCCTAAATTGGCTGCTTAACAGTAAACATTTGGGTTGTTTTTTTCAAATTGTAAAATTTTCACCAAAATGTGGCATCGACTTTTTTTACACAGTTTTATAGGAATTTTGCTACAATAAAAATGATTGTTTGTTATCACTGTGGTTTAAGCTGCCTAAATCATTTTTATAAAATTCAGAGTTGATATGTGCCGTTGCTATATTATATCATACTGGAAGTATTTTTGACAGTGTTTTTCTTTTCTTCTGAAAAAACTGAAGTTGAAGCAGTAAAATGAATATCCAAAAAAATAATGGCTGAAAGTTACAAAATAAACTGTGATGTTGTAAGCAGTAATTAAAAAAAAATCAGTCCAACTCATTACTGCTGAAATGTATCATAGTTTTGTCCAGCCGAGGAGCAAATGATGTTTGATGAAGATGAATGATCTTACTGACCCATACGTTCAAAGGTCGCTGAATTCCGTTTCTGCTCGATGACGTCTTAATTCTTTTCAATACATTTAATAATAGTTCAGTAGCAAAACAGAAATTGCTTTTTTTTTTTTTTTT